TTTTTCAGATGTAAGTTTAGTTGTAAAAAGTCATACAGAATCTTTAGATCATTCAGCATTAGGCAAAAAGAACTTTCAAAATATTGATAAAACAAAAATGTTTGTAAAAAGGAGAAACTATTAAATCTTGTAAGAATTGTTATGTAGTTGTTAAATGGAGAGTTAAATCCTGAAAAGTTTTATTTTTTTTTGAGTTATTTTTATTTAGCTAATCAATTAGTATACTTTATAACTAATTAATTTAATAACTAATATTATTTCATGAAACTACTAAAAAGTTTTAAAAAAACTTTCGAAATTTTTTTTTCGGCAGTTGAAAAAATTAAGAAAAAACGGAGCAGAAATTACTATTATGAAAAAAAATGGACTTAATTGGAAATGGTCACTACCAGCAGAGCAACTTTTTTTTCCACAGTCTAAAATAGTCGATTTTATTGAGGAACTGAAGAGAATTTCGAAAAGAGGAATTTATTTAGTTCCAGAACTTTTTCACTAAATTTTTTAAAACATTAACATTGTTATTTTTGTTTACTTTATACCTAAACTGTTTTGTTTACTTGGTACCTATACTTGTTTAGTTTGTTTTTAGTAACAAAGTTCTTGTATACAAGAACTTTGTTACTAAATCTTTTTTTGTCACTTTATTTTTGTAAATATATTTTCTTTGCCTAAATATTGTTGTTTTTATTGTTGTTTTGCTTCCTTTAGTTCCTTTTTACAGGGTTGAGCCAAAGTCACCCTAACACATAGGGCAACTTTGGCCCATCATTTAAACCACCCAAAAGATACTTCAGGTAAATAATTTTCAAATGGGAGACAGATAGTTCTTACTGTCCTTTCTATGCACTTCTAAAAGTACTTAGTGTTTGAGGAAATAACTTTTGTGGCTTTCATTCAATAGACATTAAGATGCAAAATGAGCCAAAGCCACCCAATCTTACGGTACTTTTTTTGTGGATTTTTTGTAGTTCAACCACTTTTTCCTAATTTTTTATCCTGATTTTGAATTACTTATTACTTTTTTTTCATTAAAAATATTTGGTCTTCTACTACAATTTCAATAAAAATAGTTATTTTGACAAAAAAAATGTTAAATTAAATGAAATCATTATTATTATCAAAATAGAATGAAATACTGTTTCATATCTGGGAAAATGGAACACTATTGCCATATCTGGGGTGGATCTTCCAATGATGCCTTTTCTATTTTAGACAAGGTACAAAATGATACAAAAATTATAAACGGAGTTTTCAAAGGATTTGTTCATAGGGCATTATATTTATACTCTGATAATATTATCAAACAAGAGTTATTATTTCTAATCAGGATAACGGAGGTTACGCCACGACTTTCTTTTGAAAACCTACGTTTTAATATTTAAATCAAAAGAAACTATTGCATTGATTTGTTTTTCTTTTGATTTTAACAGTTTTTTATATTTATATTATACTTCATAACAATGCAATACAAAACATTAACAATACTACTGTGATCAAAAAGTAAGGTGAATTTTTAATTTGAACTTCCCGTCTTATTCGAATCGTCCAATCTTTTTTATTTTTAAGTTGGTAGGAATGTCATTAACATTTGCGCCAAATTACATGTTAAACTCATAATTATTTTTTTTTTGTTTACGCTTGTTTCTGAAGTACCAAAAGTGCATTCGGCGATTTTCACGATGTCTAATTTTGTTGAGCAAAGAAGTGCTATTAAATTTTGTTTGCGGAATGATATTTCTGCTGCTGAAACGTATCAAATGTTGCAAAAGGCCTTCGGTGAAGAGACTATGTCTCAAAAAAATGTTTACAAGTGGTACAAAGACTTTAAAGAAGGCCGAGAACGTGTTGATGACTTGGAACGCTCCGGACGATCATCGACTTCGATTGATGATTGCCACATCAACAAAATCAAAGAATTGGTGCTTGCAAATCGTCGGTTAACCATTCGAGACCTTGTTGACATGGTTGGAATATCATTTGGGTCAGTGCAAGCGATTTTGAAAGATCATTTGGGCCTCAGAAGACTCAAATCACGTTTGGTGCCGAAATTTCTTAATTTCTTTGAAAAAGAGCGTCGCGTTAAAACGTGTGAAGCAATGCTTTCTGACTATCATGACGTCTACAAACAAATTATTACTGGCGATGAGACTTGGGTCTACGCATACAACCCTGAAACAACCGACCAATCGAGTGAATACTGTGAAAAAGGCGAGCCGAGACCGAAGCAACCACGTCAAAGTCGCTCAAAAATCAAGGTCATGTTGACTGTTTTCTTTGATTATTGTGGTGTCGTGCACTACGAATTCCTTCCAACTGGCCAAACTGTCAACAAGGAATATTATTTAAGCGTTATGCGACGTTTGCGTGAAGCTATTCGCAAAAAGAGACCGGAATTATGGGCCAATAACTCTTGGATTTAGCACCACGATAATGCGCCTTCGCACACAGCACTGGTTCTTCGTGAGTTTTTCGCCAAAAACTCTACCCATGTTGCTCCACAACCACCGTATTCGCCCGACTTAGCACCGTGTGACTTCTGGCTGTTCCCAAAGCTCAAGAGACCACTCCGGGGAAATCGTTTTGAGTCCATTGAAGAGATCCAACGTGAATCGGCACGCACATTGAAGGCTATCCCTACCGAGGACTTTTTGGCATGCTTCGAAGACTGGAAAAAACGTTGGCAAAAGTGCATTGGGGCCGGGGGGGATTATTTTGAGGGGGACGAAACAGATTTGGAAGAATAAATAAAGATTTTTCATTTTATAAAAAAATTCACCTTACTTTTTGATCACAGTAGTATATTTCGTGTTACAGATGTTACTAAAACATAGGTCATTGCAAATAGTGATTCACTAATAAAGCGCAATAACCTAAATAAGATAAAAAAAAAAAAAAATAACAATAATAGTAATATGTAATAAGTAAAACCACATAAAAAAGTAGGTTATAAAAGAAAGTTAACGAGGATCTAAACTCCCTTGAAATATTGTGGTAAAAATCAATTGAAAAATAAAGAGTTACATCCAAAGTAGAAGTTTTTACACTTGTTTAAGCTTTTTTTAGTGTTTTTTTAACTACTAGTTTTTTTACGTTTTTACTTTTAAGTTTTTTCTTTACTGTCATTAGTGTCTATTGGTAAATTAAAATAACATAAGCTGTGTGACCTAAAATATTTTTTTGCAGTTATCCAAAAAAAAACGCAATGGAAGTTTTGAGGTAGATAAATAGAGAGTTAGGGGAGTTAAAATCAAATTTTTTACTTATTTATTTTCTTTGCCGTTTAATAAAATTTACAATAAAAAAAATCGTACATGGCCGGAGCGAGAAGAAAACGCATATTGTCTTATCGCCGAGCCAATCAAAAAGGCCTTATGAATAAATTTTTAAAATTACGTCAGAATTAGAATCAGATATTGGAAATAAGTTAGTTTTAGTTACCATTAAAAACCAGTGAAGGATCCAGGAATTTTTGGTGGTGGTGGTGGGGAAGGGGATGTCGAATTAATTTCTAATATATTTTTTAGGACTATCAGATTCTGGTGTGTGTGTGTGTGTGTGTGTGTGTGAGTGTGTGTGTGTGCGTGTGTATACCCCATCCCCTCTCTGGATCATTTACTGTCGATAATATTGATGGCTTGAGCGAATTTGAATTTCAATAGGAAATTAAATATATCTATAATTTCAGCTGGTAAGAATAACATAAACATTACAATTCTACTTGACCTTTACTATTTATTATTTATTGTATTTTTTGTTTGATTGTCCATGATACATCTTTAAATTTTTTCAATGTTCTGTTTTTAGGCGCAATCAGGAGTCAACATTATGACCTAAAAGATAGCCAATTCTTCAGTTTTATAGAAGATTACGACAAAATGGTTACGGCAAGTTAACATCATAAATAAGTAGTTAAAACTGCAATAAAACGTAATGCAATTACTTGCAGTTATCGTTTATTATCCTATTTTTATATCTATATTTGATATTTATTTTGTAAAATAACTATTGTTTAAATAATTATTGATCAATGAATTTTTGAAATATCATCAAGATTTTCTTGTAATAATTTTATTAAAGCTATTATTTGCTAGTATAATACACTGGTATAAAAAAAACTCAAGTTGTTGAATCAGCGGTGAATATCGGTGTGATAAAAAGATAACGAATTCACCGTTGAATAAGTATTATATCACCACTTACTATTAGTGATGTAGTATTGTTGATGTAGTATTGATATTAAATCACTACTAAATCATCAGCGCGCATCCTTTAACTTTGTAATAACAATTAATTTTTTATATCGGTTACGGACACTATATAATCATATGTAACTGACCGCTATTCAATTGATACAGTTTTAAGTTATTTATTGTTAATAATAACGATAAAGACTGAAACCGTTGAAAAAATTTAAACTACTATTTCAAAAATGAATTTAGTCAGCATTTATTTTGTTTTTTGCTGACACAATTTACTATGTTTTATAAAGAATAGGAATTTTAGAGGAGGACGAATGTCCTCATCTAAAATCTCTAGAATTTGTTATAAATAACAACTAAATAAAAACGCAAGATACTTTCATTTTTTTTTTAGTAGTTCTTATAGATAAACATCTATCGTAGCTCCCACACAGTAAACCTTAGGTATGATGCAATTACGTCATTACCTACGCAAACATTGCGTTGCAGGTTGTCATACAAAAAAACTTGAAAAAATTTTTTATTTACAAAAACGAGTTAGTAAAATTATTTACAGCAAAAAAAGTCACTTAAGGCATGAAGTTTTGAGCTATGAAAAATTGGTCAGATTTCAACATTAAGTTCAAATGTTTCACCTTTATAATCATGTTCAGTACAAAGGTTTTTGCAAGATTCCTGCGTAAAAATCAAAAAACGTTTTACGCTATTTTTTTTTATGTTTCCTGTTAATTCAAATTTCGTACTTTTTACAAAAAGACACTTAAAATACAACAAGTTCAAATAAGTATGAAATATTTATTTTAAATCAATTTTTTGTACAGTTAAATTTTTACAAATATATTTTAACTCAAAATCCTATTAAAAAAATTCGTTATGTTTAAATAATTCTTCTAAATACAATATACAATTTAAAAATTTAAAGCAAGACCTATATGTTTTGTGCGTGTTTGGATGTAGAACATTGTATGCCGTTAATAGGTATCTAAACCATGTCAAAATATGATTGGTTGCAGTCAGTTATGTATATAAATAGATTCAAAATTTTTATAAAATGTAAAAAGAAAGATAATTTTTAAAATATTTAAAGGAACTATTGGCAATTTTTAACAATAAATAATAAATATATAAATAAATACTATAAATAACTATATTAATAAGACGCATACTATTCAATGGTTAGATAGATATATCAGATGGTTATTTATAGGCAGAAGCTATCCTTATTTCTTGCCTTTGTAGTGATTTTCTATCAATAAAGACATGGGACCTACCTCAATATAAACACCTCGAAAGTCAATCAAAGCTGTTCCATGAAAAAGAATATTTAATGTAACAACAGCATATTCACATAGCGCAAATAAACTATATACTATAAAAAAAATTAAGTTAAAAAAAATAAATTAAAAATAAAATTAAATGCTACTTATGCACGAAAATTGAATGAAAACAGATATTATGCATTCAAAGTTGCAAAGAAGCAAACCAAAGTTTTTATGATAAAAAGCTATAACTATTATATTGGGTTGATTAAAAAATAATTAAAAAATAAATAATAATGAACAAATTTTTTTTTAAAACTCCTAGGTTCTGGAAGCTTCAAGAGATTTCTATGTTTTCAGTGTATTTACAATGAGAAACGGCCTATTAGGCCAATTAATATTCATGGATGATAACTTCTGTATATCGCAAAAAATAAGCAAGCTTTATCGGCTTTATGAGTTTCAGGCCAGTCAACAGTCGAAGCCACACTAAGTATTTGCAATAGAATAGTTCAGGATTTGGTGGCGACAGCAAAGCATTGGTTTTAACGCTTTCGTGCGGTTTAACAGTATTTTAACATTTCAAGATCAATACAAATATTAGACTAGCATTTTGAGCAGCTAATCAAAAGCAACTTTGCGCTGTTTAGCAAGCGAACTTCGATGCATTTATGGTACTATAGATTACCATTTGCATAAAATGGGAAAAAAACTTCCAAGTTCGGCATTTGAATACCACATGAATTGAACGCTAGTCAGCTAGGTCAGTGTACACCTGCATGAACCTCTTGTCGCTGCACCACACATTTAACTAGACACTTTTAACCTCACATTTGACCGTGTCATTACCAGATAAAAAAAAGTGGATCCTCTACACGAATCACACGTCAAAAGTTAGAGCTGGAACAACTGCCAAAACCAATTAGGAAAATCAACCTGCAAACCAAATGTATTGTCTTTGGCTTGGTGGGGCATGTGCGGACCACCAAACCACAATTATTACAGCAACTTGTTGTGCTCAATTCAACAAGTTTCAAGCAAAAAAAGAAGGCCGATTAACAACAATCTTTATTACTTTCAATACCGCCTCAATATCTCCGTACTCAAAATGCAAAATCGATGCAGGAAAAAACATTAGAGCCCTGCTGGAAGGTGTTACCTCATACGCCATAGTTAGCACCAACAGATTCTTACTTGTTCCAATGACTAAGAAACAGCTCGCGCAATGCAAGATTCGACAACAAGGAGGCGCTCTGAAAGCATCATAATCACTTCTTTGATTCAAAGTCTTAAGAACTCTATGCCAACAACATTCGTTCTTTGCCTATGTTTTGGTAAGAGGTCATAAAAAATGATGGTACATATATTGGTTAGGATTAGTTGTGAAATTAAAAATATTAAAAAATGCTCATTATTATTTAGCCAACCCAAATTAAATAAAAAAATATTTCTTGTTATAACTTTTTGCATTTTATAAAAAACCTTATACTCTTTGTTTTTACATAGAATACATTTTTTTTTACATTGCTTAGAAATTGCGCTATACATTTAATATTTGATTCACACAGTGAAAAGATACTTCCTGGTTCACAATTTTTATTGTGTCTGACAAAGAAATACATAGTTAAAAAAAAGAACATCAACTTTAAAGTGAGAAATATCATTTTCTGCCTCAACGAGAAATAATTCTAAAAATATTTTGAGATTTTTTAAAATTTTTTCAACAATTAAAAAACAGAATAAAAAATATTTAAAATTTTAGAAAATCAAATTAAGTTTACCTTTTTACTCTGTTTTATTCTTCCAAGCTTTAAAAATAAATAAGAAGTAGTTACCATAAACATAAAAGAAAACAAAATGAAACCAATAAAACTCCATTTGTGAAACTCTAAAAAAAAATTTCTCGTCAATATTTTAGCTTATTATCAATCAAAAAAATTGTTATGCCAACAAAAAACTCATAAAATTACAATTTTTACAACTTAACAACTAGTTGTAATCACAATTCACCTTATTAATTCATTTTTTTAAATAAAATTTTAAAATACTTTAAATACAGAGCCATATTAAAGCAGGGGCTGATGGGGCTGCAGTCCCATGCTCGTAAAAAAAATAGACCATCTGGCCTGTGACATGTGTCAAGATATGTCTCAAAAGCCAGAAACACGACTTGAAGCAACAGGATTAAAAAATATAATGAGTCATTATAAAATCCTAGTTCAAATGTTCAAAAATTCTGAAAAGGTTCAATTTAACTAGCAAGTACTTACAAGAGTCAGACATCGATCTCAACACTATTAAAGAACTGCTTCATTTCTTAAGTTGTTCATTTTCTTTGTAGGTAAGTTGTTCATTTTCTTTGTAGGTAAGTTGTTCATTTTCTTTGTTTAATTGTTCATTTTCTTTGTAGCCAATTTACAGTAATTCACAGAAAAGGAAGGAATGGATCTGGGTACTGATTTGTACAAAGGTGAAGCAGGAGAAAAGCGCAAAAGGAATCATAGATGGGATTATGGTGACTCAGAAGATCTAGAGTGATCACTTTCTGATAAGTTTAAAGTTAAGTATTTATTGCCTATATTTGATTAATTGTTAGTTACTCTTAAACAGAGGGTTAATATATATGACACAATCAGCTAAAGGTTTGGTTTTTTTAAACATCTACAACCTTTGCATGATTATGATATGAGGTGATGTTTCATTTGTATATGAAACATATTTTGAAGATGTTGAAGCTAACTATCATGGTGAATTTATTCACTTTACTTCTCCGTTTGCCAAATTGTCACCACCCATTGAAACTGATTGTGTTGAACTGCAAATTTTTTTAGTTAAAAGTAGTTTGCGAATGTCTACTCTATGTTGAGAATTTATTTTTCTCATATGGTCACAAACTATAGAGGAGAAAGAACTTTTTCTTACTCCAGTACAGTCATTAAAAGAGTTAAGTATGAACTTTAATGAACAATGAGACACTTAAATAATTTATTATGCATTGAAAGTGACATAATTAGATCAAGAGATTTCACAACAGTGATCAAAAAGTTTGCTTCAGAAAAGGCCAGAAAAGTCAATATAATACAGACAAAAAAAAATAAATTTCTGTTTTCAAGGTTTCGCTCAGTTTTAGTTGTTTCCAGGTTAAAAACAGCTTCAATATTGTCTTTCATAGTAAAGTAGCAGTTTTTAAGATTTTTGCTTGGTTTTTTGCAGAATTTCATAACCTCACAATTCTCAATATTGAAAGACATCTTCCATAGCTTGGACCAGTCTATGAAGGCACCATATGGATATCATATCATTTTGAATTGATATGATATCCATATTATCTTTATTCATAGCAATCAGCTGGCTATAATCTGCAAAAAGCTTACAAAAATTCTTGATTATTTCTGGCATATCATTTATGTATATCAAAAACAATAGTGGACCAAGAACCTATCCTTGTGGTACACCACTTATTACCTTTGCCCAATCAGAATACACACCATCTAAGACTATTCCTTGTTATCTATTTTTTAAAAAATCAGAAATCCGAGCAATTAATTTTAAATCGAACCTATACAAATTTATTTTTATGTTTAGTGGTTTGTGGCTTACTCTGTCAAAAGCTTTGGAAAAGTCCAGCAAGATTAGGACATCCATAAAATAACTATGTAATGTAAAAAACTACAGAATTAATAATTGAAACAAAAATAAAAAGTAAGAAATAAACAAACATTAAAAAAACTCTTGAAAAAAAATGAGTAAAGTATTTTTTTACATCAGCAAAAAATAAAACTTTTTTTTATCAGAAAGTGATGCTTATTTATTTTTTATCAGAAAGTGATGCTAATTTTTTATAATTGAACCTGTTATTACTAAATGAAATGGCTAATTCTCAAATATCATTTCATAAGTTAGAACCTCTTCATTCTAATTATACTAACTATCAATATTCTCCTGACATTTCCTTGATTCTTACCTAATCTATTGGCAGAAATTTAGGTATAAATTTATTTTATTTTAAATTAGACCACATAATTTTTAAAAACATTGATTTAAATTTTCTTATTTAATTGCTAAAAACTAAAATTTTTCAAGGTAGTATTCAAGAAATTTTATTGTTCTGTAATTGGGTGCACTAAGGGAAAAGTTAAGTTTGGCTTCTTTTAAATTTTTAAATTGATAACCACAGCACTACAAACTTTAATTGTTTACTTAAAAATAACTTTAAAAAATTTTAAAATAAGTTAAGCAACAAATCCTGAAACTTGATTGACTAAAATAATTACTATTTAAATATTTGAAGTAGACAGACTTAAACAAAATATATCTTAGTTATGTGAGTCAATAAAATTTTGGTCAAGCAAGATTCGCTGGCAATTGAAAAAAAGCTTATACATAAATACAAATTATCTAGCAGTTTTAGTTTGATTAAAATAAATTACAATCTTATTTTTATTATATTTTTTTCAAAAATTTATATATGCTCAAATAGCTTTTATTCCCCCTCCTAAAGTGTTTTGTGGTCTTGTCTTGGTAATTTTTTGTCTAACAAAAAATGAATGTACAGTTTTTTGCAACTAAAGAAATAGTTAATCAAAAATGGCAAACTGAAAACCTATTCTACCTTTCTTTATACAGTCTTCTATGCTCCAACAAAATAATTTTGTCTTTGATCAAGCAGCATAGCTATTTTTTTAAACAATGGTTTAAAAAAAAAAAAATTCACAAACAAACCTTTTTGGATTTGACTGAATTATATTATGTTGAATATTTATGTACAAAACATAATAAATACTTCTATTATGCATAAATACATAAATATTACGTTGAATATCTATGCATAAATGTTATATTACAAAAAAAATAATTATTATTGTTATGTTATATCTATTGCTAACCAAAGTTTCATTAGAAAAACAAAAAAACAATTTATACCATAATTATCTGTAGAAGAAACATATGTTAACAAAATCAACGATGTAATTTCAAGAAGATTAACAGCAACAGCAAACTTAACAAGACTTCTAAAGAAGCTTGCAGCAACAAGCAATGAATCTTGATAGAAGTGGTAGTAAGCAAATGCAATCAAATATCTCTGAAATGAATGTAAACCAATAGCAATTCTCCAAATGTATTTCTCAGGAGATTTATCAACTGCAGCACTGATGGATGGAAAATAGTTCACCACCTGAATAAAGTAAATTTCTTTCTATTAAAAAAAACTAAATTTCACATATTCTTAAATGCTAAATTTGAAATAGTTATCCAACTAAATTACTTTTCATCTCCATTAATTTTTATTTCCATTAATTTCTTTCATCCTCTACACACACACCCTATTATTTTATTTTGTTTTAATGATAACAAGCTATATAAAAACTATTGCAGCCATCATTAAAGACCTTTTTTTTTAAATATAAATCAAGAGTAAAGATATTTTTTAAATTTGAAAATGTCTCGAGGTCATCCTGAAATGTCTCGAGGTCATCCTGAAATGTCTCGAGGTCATCCTGAAATGTCTCGAGGTCATCCTGAAATGGAGATAAACTGCAGTATTTATATTTATTTACTGAGGGTTTGGGAAAGTAGTATCTATGTATGAAGGGAATTTTGTGAAAAAAATTACCACTAATATATTTTGCAAAAAAATATTTTATTAAAATATAAATTTATATAACTAAAAAAACTGCAATTATGGAAGCAGCTTTCTTTCAGCCTTGTACTTTTTTGAGTAATAGATTTCTTTAAACATTCTATTGTTTGAATATTTTAAAAAATATTTGAAGAAACTTTGTTATGAAATATTACTATAGGAAGTGTAGGAGGTAAAATATTACTATAGGAAGTGTAGGAGGTAAAATGTTTTTTGATGCATTTATTGTTAGCAATTGATGTATTTTCTAAATTAAGTAAAGCTGGGAAGCTCCCCTTTAAAAAAAAAACTTTAGGTGGAGGTGACTGCCTGAAATTACTAAAAAAATATTTATACTATTATATATTTTAAACTTAATTCTCTTGGACTGTATTTTTATATAACTACAACATTTCAACTGCTTAGATTTAAAATTATTTTTTATAAAATTGAAGTAACCTTTTCATACAGTTACAAAAATTGGTCAAAAATTATTTATTTCTTCAAAAATTATTTATTTCTTCAAAAATTATTTATTTCTTCAAATAAACCTGATATATAAATTAGTTAAAGATATAATATAAAGATTATTAATGTGTGTAAAAGCAACATTAAAGGCAACGTTGTGACAAAAATAAGCTGGCAAATTATAACTTTTTTTTTACTGTTCTGCATAACTGTTAGTTTTGCAAGTTTATTAATAGTCAACATGGTACTAAACTACTAATTCTAGTTAAACATCATGCTGCATTTTACATTATCAAAGCAACTTATATATGCTTACAACACCATTCAAGAATATCAAATCCTTGTAAAAAGAAATGGTGTGTATAAATATTTAAAATATAAGCACTATGTTATTGTTAAGTATTTATTTTTTAAACAATTTTTTAAAAACCTAGATTTTGATAAAAGAAAGTTCAAAATTTTTTTTGTCCAATTTCTTAAACAATATTTATCATTCAAAAAACAAATCTTTTGACAGCAACACGGCTGAGCTTTATGTCTTCTTGTTTTTTTTTTGAAAATTTTAACGTAAGAGGTGTTACTAAAATATTTATAACTTTTGAAATATTAAAGATAATTTTGTTATGTAAAAGGAATAAAAATAACAATAAAATGTTTTATCATATGACATTTAATATAATAGTAAAAAAACTTCTTTTAGTTTAGAAAAAACGTGACAAATCATGAAATTGGCTGAACTTTAATAATTTGTTGTTACTTTTTATCAACTAAAAATTGAAAATATATATTTCTAATATTTATTAACAAGTTATAAACATTATTAGACTATTATAAAAACAAAAAAAATATTACTCAAACTTTATGTTAATTGAAACAGAGATAATTAAGTCATAAAACAAAATCGCAAAAAAATATTAGAGAAAATGTTTTAAAGTTTAATGTTTTACATCATTGCTTTAATAATGTAAACAAAAATTTACGCAAAAAACTAGAAAAAGTTGCTAAACATGCCAAGTTTGAAAACATATTCGCTAACATAGCAAAAGGTACATAAAATAATTTTTATATTTTCATCTGCATAAAAGGTCAAAATTTCAATAACTTACGTCATCCATCAATAAAATTATATTTTATATTTAAAAGAGATAAATTTAAATGTATAAATGCATTAAAAATTGAGTTAGTAAAAAAAATCACCAGGATGACGTAGGAATCTGATAGAATAGACATTCATTGATAAGTGTTCCAAATTTCATCCATCAACCATGTAGCTATGTTAGCGAATCTTGGTTGGCCCAAGACAGGTTTTCTGTAAAAATCTCCAAAAACAGAAAAGTGATCCAAAATCATTTAAAATATTTTAACAATGTTTATTTTTATTTCATTTAGTGTAAATATTTACTTAACGAAGAAAGATTGTTTTTTAATTCTTTTTTTATTCAAAGATGAAAGCATTTATAGAAAAAAAAATACTAATAATTTAAAGTTAGTGAATTTTTATACTTTTTATGTGGAAATTGTATTATTTTTATAAACACAAAAATTTTTGTGATGCCAAGTTCGCTTTTATATTGAGTGAAACAGCCGTGCAACTGTACCAATATTCTCAAAACAAATTTTATTGACAACAACTGCACCATATTTAATAACTACTAAAATACAATTAAACTATTCCCTTTTTAAAAAAATGAGCATTAAAAAAAACCTTAATTTTAATTTTGATTCAAAACTTCTGCTTAATTTAAGTTAAATTTTATCAAATTATGCAAATTGAGGCTAACTTACTATACTTTTAAAGGTTAGTTCCCTAGAACTAATTTTAATTGTAGTAAAAATTATAAATAATTAAATTAATCATTTCAAGTTCTATAATATTGTTGTAACTGCTTTACAAAGAAAACCAATATATTTAAGATTTAATGTGTGTTTATATATATATATATATATATATATATATATATATATATATATATATATATATATATATATATATATATATATATATATATATATATATATATATATATATATATATATATATACATATATATATATATATATATATATATATATATATATATATATATATATATATATATATATATATATATATATATATATATATATATAAAGTATTAGCATGCTCATATTTTTTTTATCTCAGTGAACTTCAAATGAGTGTAATTCGAAAACAATGAATGGGTGATTGATCTTTTTTTTTTTAACTTATTTATAAAATTCCACAACTTTTGCATTTATGTTTTGAGCTGCACCAAGTTAGTGGGCTTGCTTTTTTTGTAATTTGCAGTCCATCCAACCCCAAAGATTCTCAATAGGATTTAAATCAGGCGAACGAGCAGGCTAAGGCATTAGATCCAGCAAGGCCATTGCTAGATCCAGCAATGCAGCCCCAAATGCCAATTAAGCCACCTCCTCCTTGAACTCTTGACATGATAAAACAAGGATTATACTTTTTGTTTTTGTATCTCCTCACAACAACTCTTTTCTTGCGATCAATAATTTCAAAATTTGAATCTTCCAAGAAAATTACTTTTCTCCATTGTTCTACAGTCCATGCAGCTCTCTCTTTGCGCCATTTTCTTCACTTAAGATGGTCTTTGATACTTAGTAGAGGCTTCTTTGTTGCAAGGTATGAATTGAGATGTTTTTTCTTCATCAGCTTACTAATTGTTGATCTGCTAACTTGATGTATACCTAACGCTGTATTCCGAGGCAATTTCGGCTATGCTCATGTTCAGGTTGCATCTAGCCAGCATAATTGCTTTATTTTAGTCTCTTTCTGACATATTTTTGGGACGACCAGAGCAACTTTTGTCTTCAACTATTCTAAACTCATTAAAGTTTTTGAGCATTGTTCTAATGCTGCATTCACTGATTTTAAGTTGACATCCAATTTCTCAATTGTTGAAACCACTTTTGTACAGGCCAACAACTTGCCACTTTGTTTCAATTGATATGCTTTTTAAACCTATATTTTTGTTAGTGCAATTTTAAAATTTCAACTAACTGTATTTCAAATGATATTTCCGACACTTCAATTTATGGTTCTTATATTTTTTATTGACTATTAATTAGCTAAGAGTTAACAAAAATTAGCCAAAAAAGTTTTTCTTATAGGAATTATATAAGTATGCTAATACATTTTAAATGAGTGCGCTAATACTATTGCATGCTTAATACTATTGCATCTCTCACACTCCCCTAAAACGATTTACGGGAGCAATTTACCACTCTCGCAAAAGTATAATTTTTCTTACGAAAGTATAATTATTGTTGTAACTAAAATAAAAAGCATAATATCATTTAAAAAAATATTAATTGCATAATATACTGCAATGCTTTTTAAAAAGCACGGTTGCTGCAAAAAAATAAAAAATAAAAATTAAAAAAGAACTCCGATTTAAATGAGCAGCTTGCACAGCTCCCCAAGTTCGTTTTAGGAGAGCTTTTCTCTGCTCTCGAGCTCATTTATTTCTGCCAAGGCCTATATATATATATATATGTATATATATATATATATATATATATATATATATATATATATATATATATATATATATATATATATATATATATATATATATATATATATATATATATAGAGGAAATAATATTGATAGATAAACTATATTTATATTTATTTATATATATATATATATATATATATATATATATATATATATATATATATATATATATATATATATATAAACTATATTTATATATATATATATATATATATATATATATATATATATATATATATATATATATATATATATATATATATAAATATATAGTAGACATTGGCAATATATAGGAGTGGAAATAAGTGAACATTACATAAAAAAGAGCATGCTGAAAATTTTTTTTTCAATTGCAACAAATGGTGAAAATACACTTCTGCATGAATTATTTAATTTAGAATTTAAATAAAACCTTCGTTTTGATGTTTTTATTTTAACTATTTTATTTAGTATTTAAATAAAATGTTTGTCTTTCCTTTTTTTTTTTTATTTTGTTTAACATTTAAATAAAATGATTTTTATTTTGCTAATTTCATTATGCTAATTATGCTTTTAGGTAATTTCACATCAAATAACTCAATCCTTTAAACATTTTTCTCTTGAACAACAAAAGCATAATTTTTTTAAAATTGCCAATAATTATTATGGTTGATTGATCCATATTTTGTTTTAGTTGATTAAGTTACTGTAATTGAGAGTGGGCAATTAAAGAATGAGCTTGTAGCTTTTCAAAGTAATATACAAATATTTTCAAAGTAATATACAAGAAATGTTGGAACATCTGCTGTCAAACTCAATAGTGCCGCACAATCTGTAGTTTGTCATTGCTTGTAGTTTATCTCAAAATCATCTTCATATTCTCTAAAATCTCATACAACTACATGGTGAGCAGTTCTTTACCAGGACGATCATCACACCATGCCAGCATACACTCTTTAATTTTTACTAAGCTAAGAGTTTTTGAAAGAAGATTTTTATATGCTTCATAAATATTTCAGTCATCTACTAGCAATATGGCATTTTGATGAACAAACAGGATGTGTAGCAGTTACACCTGGTAAAATGACCTGAATGTATAACTACATATCAACTCACCTCTTTGTCAGGAAATAAGATTTGAATCTACTGACAATTCTTCTATGGGCTTTCAGCACCGCTTCACTCATAATAGTCTATTTATCAATCAATCCAAAAAGGTATTTTCTGATTCTAAGCTCCATTCTCAGATTACTAAAACTCTTAATTCATCACAGACTTTTGGTCTCAATCAAGTTTTAATCATCTTAATTAATTAAGTCTGACTTAGTCTTAACAGTATCATTAACAAAAGTAAGCCTAAAACTCCATCTCTCATACCTGGGGCTCAATTTATTACTTCTAATAAAGAAAAAAACTACTTGAAAAAAACTTTCCCCTAACTTATCTTATCAATCTAATGACAACACTCTTCCCACTATCTCAAAGAAATAGTTTATTCCATTGCAAGATATCCAAATTACCCAGACATCTAGACATTTCCGGTCTTGACAATCAAAAAGTGATGACAAGTCACCACTTTCTGATTTCTTAGAATAGGCAACCAATCTTGAACATGATCATTCTTATGTAGCAATCTTTACCTTCTGTAGCAACTTGAAGCTTGTAATGGATAGTAAATTTTAATTTTATTGTTCTTGCTATTTTCTTACTCCTGATTCCATTTTCTACATCTATAAATCTCTTAATCATACTTGTATATGGAAAAATATTATCATATTTGGGCTGGTTCTTGTAATGAAGAACTCTCTCTTTTAAACAAAGTCCAAAAAAGCATTAAAAATGTTGTTTGAAGTGCTAACAACCTTAAGTCTCTGTCATATTATCATAAGCCTCTCTCCTATAATCGTTGTTTGTCATTTTCTTACCACATTACACAATGATTTAGAAACCTCACTGGCTTAAATATTTTCCCAACTCATAAAATTTACAGTATTTTGGAGTCTTCTGTCAACTATTATATCTCTTTAAACTCTTTTCTTTGCTTATTTGTAAATCCTAACATAAATGAAACTTTGTTGAGAGTGAATTTATAAAAAAGAAAACTTAAAAATATAACCCAGAAAGGATAACATCCATTGTGTATATTGCCCGTGTTGTATATCGCACCCTATATTTCATAGATTTGTTGCTTAATTTTTTGCTCTTTTTATCATGTTATTTTTAGTATCACTATTTATTTTCTTTACACAATACACATGTTTCAAGTCAATATAAGATTATACTTTAAAAATTTAATGCAAATGCAAAGTAAGTTTTTTTTTTTTTTTTTTTTTTTTAACATCTTCACTTCCAACAAGGCTGCAAGCAACCACTATAAGAGTTGGAAGTTACTGGAAGAGAAAAGACTAAATCTGTAGAGCAAGATGACGATTGACTGATGACTTAAAAGATTGCAAATTATATGAATCAGGAAAGCAAGATGAAGGAAGCGAATTCCAAAGAACTGATGTTCGAGGAAAAAAACTAGAAGAATAAGAGTTTTTGAAGCACTTAGGAACAGTCACAGAAAAAGGATGAGACTTAATTGAATGGCGAGTAACACGAGAATGAATTTTAGTAGATGGCACAAGGGACGCTAGCTCTTTAGAGCAGTGCCCATTATAGTAATTGTAGAAAAGAGAAAGAGAAGCAACATTACGACGATGTGACAAAGGTTGGAGATTGGCTGCCAGAGCAGGTCCAACTATGTTTACAATTCGTTTTTGCACCTTGTCTAAAAGAGAAAGAGCATCATTAGAAGATCCGCCCCAGATGTGGCAACAGTATTCCATACAGGGACGGATTTGAGATTTATAGAGATAGAGAATAGAATCTGGAGTAAGAAAGTGTCGAGCTCGATAAAGAGATGCAACCTTAGCAGATGCTAATTTTGCAATGGATTTGATATACGGTTTAAAAGAAAGATCAGAAGTAAGAGTTAATCCTAGAAGATAAATGGTAGATGACTCATCTAGTACATTACCATTCATAAATATAGGAAGATCTAAATTATTACGATAACGATTGGCCGAATAAAATTGAGTTTTATCTGAATTAAAGTTCACCAGCCACTGTGAGCCCCATGCTGTAGCAGAAGTGAGATCCTTTTCAAGCTCAGATACCCCCTCCAAGCAATCAGAGAGTGTAGGCTTCTTATCATGACAAGAGTAAATGGTAGTGTCGTCAGCGAATAATGCCACCTTAGATGTGAGAATATCTGGAAGATCGTTAATGTAAATTAAAAAGAGTATAGGGCCAAGGATTGAACCTTGAGGAACCCCTGAAGTTACAGGATGTGAAGAAGAGTGTTGTCCATCGAGGACAACTTTTATACTACGATTGGAAAGAAAGGACTCAATAATCTTAAAGATGTTACCAGCTACACCATAAGAAGAAAGCTTATGGAGAAGACCAGCATGCCAAACTTTATCAAAAGCTTTAGAAATGTCAAGTGCGATAGCCTTAACCTCTCCACCTCTATCTAAGTATTTTCATTAAACAAGTTACCAAAATTAAGAATTGCAAAACAAACTAAATTAAAATTATTTTTTAGTTACAATCAATTATTGGACTTAACCTTTGCCAGGTTTACAGATAATACAAGAATTAGTAAAAAATGATGAAGCTAAGAAAAAAAGGCTAAATTTTATTAATTAAATTTTGATTTAGAACATCATAAATAACAAATTCACAGATAGAGAATTTAAATAGTGGATTTAAAATAACTTTTTTTTTTTTAATAACAAATTAAATACATTTCAAAAAAAATTGAAATTATATAATATATAATATATATATATATATATATATATATATATATATATATATATATATATATATATATATATATATATACATACTTACTAAAGCGTGTTTTGATAAGCATTTGCTCACTTGTTGTGCTTACTTTAAGATATACTGTTTTTTTTTTAAAAGAAGAAAAAAACGAAGAATAATGAATAAAACGATTGCTTCCCCATCCCAAACCCATAGTCGATGTAGCAGCACTCCATTGCGAGTCAGGCTATTTGTCAGTTGATGTATCTACTGAAGCCCCCAGCAGCCGGCTATTTCAGTATGACGTCAGATTGCTTACCAAAGTACGCAATACTATTTGTATATATATATATATATATATATATATATATATATATATATATATATATATATATATATATATATATATATTCAATTAATTCACTTTTTTACACCTCAATAAATTAACTAATTATAAATTAATTCACAAGATTAGTAAATTGTAATCTTTATTTATTTTCAATGTCATTAACTATTTATTTTTGATAATACTTGTAGTCAAAATGTCAAGAGAAATAGCATTGTCCAAAAAGGTGGGCATATGTCTTTTATCCTATATATGATATATATATATATATATATATATATATATATATATATATATATATATATATATATATATATATATATATATATATATATATATATATATATGTATATATATATATATATATATATATATATATATATATATATATATATATATATATATATATATATGATTATGAATGATTTTCTACTAATTTATTATTGCTCTGTTATATATATATATATATATATATATATATATATATATATATATATATATATATATATATATATATATATATATATATATATATATATATATATATATATATATATATATTATATTATATAAACAATTTTAAAATGTTGCACACTTTTATATAATTATTTATATAAATATTATATAAATATTTTACTTGTATATGTATACATATATATATATATATATATATATATATATATATATATATATATATATATATATATATATATATATATATATATATATATATATATATGTATATATGTATATATGTATATAAATACATATATATATATATATATATATATATATATATATATATATATATATATATATATGTATATATATATATATATATATATATATATATATATATATATATATATATATATATATATATATATATATATATATATATATATAAGTAAATATATATCACACAAATTTCTAACAATATACTTTGCAATGAGTAGCAGTAACATCGTCCCAGTGTAGCCACATTGACATTACAACACAGGAAAATATGGAAAGTAGAGGAAATAATATTGATAGATAAACTATATTTGAAAATTGGATTTTAATAGAACCCATTTTATTTTTTGTTTTTTAATTTTTTTATTTATATATCGTTTTCATAAAAGCAAAGTTTACAAAAAGAATTATCCAATTCAATTATAAACATCACAATAAACGCTGGGCGGCTAGACTCAGCTTTAGGAAATAATGAAAATTAAAAAAAGCAGCGAAAAATATTTAAAATATTTAGATTTACAAATCTCGGGCAGCATCAAATTTCGGGCAGCATCAAATTTCGTGCGAACAGCATAAAAAAATCACATTGACTTAAATTTTTTAACAGTGGCGTTTATGCTTTTGTTAATAAAATCCTTTTCTGTCCAGTTAATGTTAATGTCACATCGGCAGTCTAATTATTTATAATAAAAAAGTCACCACACAGGTAGACGGGCCCCAAAAACTCATATATCATGGAGCAAAATATAATTTTTTTTATTTCACAGGATAGTTTTTTTTATAGAAAACTGTTAAAAATAACCAAATTAGCATAATTTAATGAAATTTTTACTAAAAGCACTATAATATTTTATTTGAAAAATTTTTTATAACTTTTTGACATTATAGCCCATAAATACTTGAAATTTTTATTTAAGTTTGCTAATGAAGGTTTTTGTAAAGGTTTAAGTCACACTTCTGCAAAAAAAAAATTAAAAGAAAATAAGTTTAAAAAACAGTTGCTAAAATATTTTAAGTTAACCAATGTGGTATTTCTGTGGGTCCATTAACAAAAAATATATAAATGCAGATTGAAAACTCAGTATTAAAATAGAATTTTGCTTTTTTATATCAAAAAGAGTCTGCCCTACTTTAATGTCTTTTGGCCCATATTCACGCCAAGCCGATCGTGTTTAGATTTTAAACCAACGTAGCGTTAATGTCTTACGTATTACCTGTCAAAAAATCTAAGCCCGATCAGCTTGGCGTTAAAGTTATCTGGTAAAACTTGTATCTGGTTAAAATATCAGTATAAACGTTTATTTTATGTTTTTCTTTTACTTTAGCTAATTGAAATGACTTAAAAAATTTAAAAACAAGAAAAATCGTTGTAATTTTATATATTTAAGCCAAATAATAAGATAATAGTTTTTATGTTACATTTTTGTTAGATTTTTGATGATAGAATTGCTTAAATCATCTACCAAATAAAATTCACTATTTAATAAAAATATTGATCTTTAGTGGATTGTATCATTGTTAAATATTGTGCAACATATAAAATTGAAACAACGTGTATCAATTATAAATGATAACGGGATATCTTTTATATTTAGTTAATCTTCATCTTCTGGAAACACCTCGACAAATAAACAAAATGGGTGAAATAAAAACTTTGCTGTAGAATTATTAAGGCGTTTTTAATCAGGATATAGCCATTGATGTTTGGACAAATAGTTTTGTTACAGGTTGAACAAAAAAATTGAATTGTCTGAAAATCTATTTAAAAATGGATAAACACATTGGATTCTGTATCAAGAGTCCTGAAAGATAAAGAATCATTTGGTTTTAATCTCATAACAAGAAGAACCCATAAAGTTTTTACTCTATCCTATTCACCAGTTTCAATGAGAGAAAGTATATCGAGTATGTGATTATATATTTTTATATAAAAATATATAAAAAACAAGATATAATTATATCTTGTTTATTCTCTTGTAATACACTTATTATATTTTGTGACAATAAAGATGAGCACCAAATAGCCAACAAAAAATAATCAATTGTGCAAGTGTTCTGAATGATAATACTTCGGTATAATTGACACAGTGAAAAATAATCTTCCTCCATTTTCAAATCATCTTATTTAACAAAATGCAACCACCCCATTTTGGTAAATGCTTTGAAAATAATCTAAAGTTAATTTCATTAACTGTTTTTGCAGATTTCTCATTCAATAGTGAAATACTTAATTCAGAGTCAACTATATTTAATTCTTCATTATATTTTATTTTAAGTTGTATGAAACTCATTGATATATCTCGTTTCATAGTTTCATTCCATTCGAATATTTCTTTTTCAGATTCGCATTCTGATTCATTTTCACTTCGTAAAAAAAACATAAGCCATGAGCCTGGATTTGGAAGTTTTTCTAAATACTTTCCACAACACAAATAAAAAAAGACACTAACAATGTGACTACAACAACCACATGTTCTTAAACCAGAAAAACACCCACATGCCCAAGACAATACTGATTCTGGACTATCGATATTTGGCAAGTATTTAATAAACAACCTATACTTAGTAGTGTTTGAATGTCTTGACTGAATTTCAGCGGAAATCAGTTTATAATTTTGAATTTGTTAAATATTTTTATCAATCAAAATAATATATTTTCCATTTTTATTTAAATGTTCTGCTAGATAACTGTAACTTTGCTTTATTTGATAGCTACCAAGTGTGATGTATTTTCGCATATCATCTATTGAAAACTTTGGAAAATCGTTTAAATCTAACGCGTTGACTGGTTTAAATTGCCTTTTACTTTTATTTTTTGTATGCAAAATATATGATTTATGCGGTGGCAAAATATTTTGTCTGGATCAACCAGCGGAATATGGTTAACGCTGCTTACACCGGATTTGTATTCAATTCTCAATATTTAATCACGTTTTAAGAAATGTTCGTTCACAGCACGACTATCGCATAAAACAAGAAAGCAGCAGAACTTGGTAAACCCTGTTTGCATACCCATTAACATACCAATCACTTTCAAATCACCACAAATGTTCCACTGATGAGTTTTGTCATCAATAGTGTCTAGTAATATTTTCATATTTTCGTGAGTTTCATTCAAAGTTTACGGAATGAGCAATGGGAATACATGGCTTCTGATTGCCAATATGCAACAACACGGCCTTTAAACTGCTCTTGGATGAATTAATGAAGAGGCGCCAATCACGAGGCGAATGCACTTGAGATAAATTTTTGAAAAGACCATTGACATTATTGCAGTAGACAATGGTCCATCAGTGGTGAAAAACCTAGATAAATCGTTGTTGCGCTTTCAAAAGTGGGATACTTTGACACCAACTGCTAACAAATTATTATTTTTTTAGTCTTGACGCCAAAAGTTCAGCTTTTTCCTTGGAAAGGGACAAGTCTCTAACCAAATCATTCAGTTCAACTTGTGTGAAAACTTTGGGTTCTTTGCCGTCATAATCTGGATCAAAGTCAACATCAGCCACATCTTGATCAGGGCCGGCGCGAGTAGGGGTCACGTGGGGGGTGCCATTACAACTTTTGCCGTCTTAAAAAAAAAAAAAAAAGGTCCTCGTTTTTTAAAATTTATCGACTGCCATAACGACGTTTGCCGACTGACTTTACCGACTAACCTATCGACAGGCCTCATAGTTGAATCCAAATTCGGGTACACAATTTGGTGCTTATTTTTCGACGAAAATCCAGCAGTATAAACAGCGCAAAAATAGCAGTCATTGTAATGATCTTTTGGTTCCCTCCAAATCATCGGTATAGCAAATCGAAAAGAAGGACTTTGTTTGTTGATCCAATCTCGTAATAAGCTGCAGCAGCTATAACAAGCCACATGTGGTGCCCAAGTTTTATCTTGATCTTCTAAAGAACAACCGAAATACAGCTGAAGTTTTGCAATTTTCAAGCATTATATAAGTTAATTTTATTGAAATAATTACCCTGAAAATAAAGAAACATTAGTATATTTCACACTAAAACTATATGTTAGTGCGAAAAACACACATATAGATTCAGACGTGCTGGAGAAAAACTAAACACAGATTTGGAATCAGCGTAAAAAATTACAACTAGTAAGCTTAAAATTAAAGCTGGAGCAAACTCATTGTTGACCAGTGTTATTAGAACTTTATTTTGTTTTCAAGAACATTATTAGGATTTTAGAATTATTTCCAACAAGTGTATTGTTAGAAATAACATTTATATTTCTATCTTCTGTATCAAGCAAAAAACCGGCTTTGTTTAAAGATTTTAAATGCTTATAACAAATTGTCTGATCCTGTATAAAGTTTATTCGATCGAGTTTAAAATGATAAACAACTTTATTTATTACATTTTCATTTTTAATTTCAAAAATGTTTTTCGAACCAACACTATCACTTCTCCTTTGACAAACATAACAATATCTATTTCTAAGAATAATTAATACCATTTTGTAATATTATAATCTAATTTTTTTAGTTTTTAGTAAAGTTCTATCCTCCAAAACTGCATATTAAAAAATTAAATAATCAGTAAATAATATATAAAGAAGTGAAAAAAGCTATAATTTACTCTATGTAAGGTTTTTAAATAAGAAAATTATATACGCGCACAAACTGAAAAAACTGATAATATTTAATTTTGTAACAGAGCTTTAGTTTTTAAATTTTGTTTAATTGATTATAGACCATTGTTGTATATATATATATATATATATATATATATATATATATATATATATATATATATATATATATATATATATATATATATATATATATATCATATATATATATATATATATATATATATATATATATATATATATATATATATATATATATATATCGCGACTTTAAAGTAAAAATATATACATATAGGATATGGTATTTGTCAAAAAGTAATTCCAAATATAGTGAAAATATTTTAGACAAAAAAAAAACAGTATTTTATAGTTAAGTATAAACTCGATAAAGAAAAAAACAATATCATAGCCAATAGAAAGTTTTTTTTTTTTTTTTTTTTGTTCTTTTTTACATTTTAAAACATGACGTTAATACCCAAGTAGCAAACAATATTGGCACAATATTGGCGCAAGTAGCAAACAATATTGGCACAATATTGGCGCGATATTGGGTATCTTGGCCTAGATTGGCCAAGATACGCAATATTGCGCCAATATTAGCAAACAATATTGCGCCAATATTGGCATATCAATATTGGCCAATATTAGCATACCAAGATTACGCCAATATTATTTTATTGCTATTGGAATATAATATTGGCGCAATATTGACATGCCAATATTGGCCAATATTGATATGCAAATATTGGTGAAATATTGTTTGCCAATATTGGCCCAATATTGCTTTGTTTTTATTACTCAAATATTGGCCAATATTGAGATTTTTACATATTGGTACGCAGGCGTAACATTATTGCTTATTCATAATGTCCTTTAGTTTTGTCCTTTGATGTCCACAATACTTTTAATAGAATATTTACAGATAGAATCACGAGAAGAAGTGGTAAAAGTAAAGAAATCCTTTTAATTGAAAATTTAGAGATTGTATCACGAAAAGAAGTGGTTGTAATTTATTTAAAACAGATTGAATCACGAGAAGAAGTGGTTGCAGTTCATTTAGAAACAGATTGTATCACGAGAAGAAGTTAAAAAATATTTCTGTGCTCTAAGATAAAAATTGAAATAGTAAGTTTACTTTTATATAAAAACAGTTTGAGTTAATTACATCTGCAAGATTTGTAAAGTCTATTTTATTTTGTTGAATATATTCAATTAAGTTAAAGATATTCAATTAAGTAACAAATACGTCATATAGTTTACCTTTTAATAAGTTTGTAAATGAATAAATTTTAAATAAGGTAATATTAAATCTTGATTTAATAATATATGTATTTATATATATATATATATATATATGTATATATATATATATATATATATATATATATATATATATATATATATATATATATATATATATATATATATATATATATATATATAACTTTATTTTATATAGCATTTTATTTTATGCTTAAGTGTCATATAATGTTATAGGTAATGAAAAAATCAATAAAAACAACTCGATCTGCTAAATCACATTATATTAGAAGAGTAGTAAAGCAACATTTAAATGAAATTCACTCAACAAGTAATGTTGAAAATACGAATGAATTACTTAACTGTGGAAATTCAATAAACTTCAGTGATGAGTCTATTAACCATAATATGTTATATCAAAATTCTTATAATTATTTGGCTGAAGACACATTAAAATCCTCAAATGTTGAGTTTGGTGACATATCATATTTTGATGAAAACCAACCCTCGAATTTGACTAATAGTTTTGATGATGACTGTAACATAACTGATGATGAGCATGGCTACTATCCTTCATGTTCCAGTGACAATGAAGAGGCTCAGGATGAAGTTACTTTAAAAGAACTGCTTATTTGCTGGTCAGTCAAACACAATGTAACACATAGTGCTTTATATATATATATATATATATATATATATATATATATATATATATATATATATATATATATATATATATATATATATATATATATATATATATATATATGTATATGTATATATATATATATATATATATATATGTTTATATATTTGTGATTTTCCGATATTTTTTTACCTTTCATAACAGATATATTATTTAACTTTTATAGCTCAAAAAAAAAAAAAAAAAAAACAGAAAAAAATTGTAATTATATAAAATAAAAATTCCTAGCCCCGCCTTATAAACTTATTATTATAATTTTTAAATTACTCTTGGTAATTTTTTTAATTTTTTCAAATTTTTTTATGTTTTTTTATACACATATTGTACAGTAAAATTGAAGATGACAGCAAAAATTAAAAAATTCGCTGTGGCTGAATTTCTTGATGAAAAAAAAAAAAGTTTGTGTGCCATGGACGTTATCTGTTCGTCATGGCTGATCAATGAAAGTTTAGTGTTTTGACCCAATCATTTGGGATCATCTCGCCTTTTAACTGCCATACGCGAAGCCACACTTACTCCTGAAAGTAATTGGAAACAGTTAAAAATAAGAATTCTTTATTATTCTGGTAATTGTCGTTATTATGTTATTATTCCTTGTTTAATTTTACATTACACACATGCTAGATGCTAATGATCTAAACAGATAGAATTCACATCAAGCGTTGAAACAGCTGCTGAAAGTGATGAAGAATTGTCTATGCCACCAGCTAAAAAGTTAGCAGTTTGCAATACAAGTGACACTGAGGTTTATCCATCAGTTTCCCCAAGATTGAAGAAATCTTTTAATTGCCAAAATATTTTACAACCCACAACTGTTTGATATATTGAGCCATTTAGTTCGAATCATTCTATACCGATATCTTCCTCTTCTGACCAGAGCTTGGCAACTGTTGTGGCTGCTTTAGGCACCTGATTTTCTGGTAAAGATTTATATTGATGGGTTATTTATTTGAAAGTTTAATTAAATTTACTCTTCAATATATTTTTGAATGTAGTTATACTGTTTTTTTTTCTCGTTTTTTTGTGTTGACTTTCATAAAAAGCTAATCTATTTGATATGCTTTTTATTAAAGTCAGATTTATTTTTTTATTGAAGCATTTGAGAAGAAAAGTTTAGAGCTGCTTGTCAGTATTCAATATGATTTAAAAAAGTTAAACACTTGCCTAATCAATTTAGAAAAAAGCTTAGTGTTTCCTTCTACTGTTAGCAATCAGAGCATAGCAGGACCATCCCCATCAGTTCAATTATTTGCCTGTTAAAGAGGAAAAAGAACTTTTAGACCTGGATGAAAAATTATAGAACAAAGACACCTATGAATCTTTGGTATGTATCAGTGAATTGATATCATTTAATAGTTTTTAGAAACAGTTCCATGTGCATTTAAAATTTCTATACTGTAAAATATACTATACATTTGATTTAATTATGATATTGAAAAGAATGCTTTATATAAAGTATCTTTATTAAATTGTGTTGTAGTTTTAACTATTTATGCCCAGTTAGCTCATTTAATATAGCAATGAGTCTTATAATCATAAGGTCTCTCACATTAGAAACTTCAGATTGCATTCATCCTAACTTTTTTTCTGTGGTAAAGACAACCTATACTAGTGAATGAAAAATCTGATGCTATTGTGTAGTTATTGGAAGGGATATGAGACGCTCATAAACCTGTGGTAAATTTTGTATGATTTTCTTAGTGCTTTTATCACTTTATAAAACATTTATGATAATAAATCTTGATCAGCAAAACAGGTTGACCTCAGGGATTGCTTCTATTTGTAACAAATTGCTTTTTCTCTTTGATAATGTCATATTTAAATATCATTATAGATAACCACGTTGTCGCATTATGTAAACCCGTTCGAAATACACACATTTATGGAACCATTAAACTTTTATTACAACCAATTATATATTTTTGTAAACAAATTAGATTTGTTTTTTTGTTTTAGATGAACTTCCTTGCATCGGTTGGAGGCGACGATTACAAGCAACTTACCACGGCTATTTTAAAACAACTATTGACTAAAAAAGTATGCTTGTTATATTTTTTGTATGGCAGGAAACAAAAGAAATCCTTTTCGTCTCTTACGTCCTGCAAGGTGGTTATAGGTAATTTTCTTTAATTATTTATCTTCATATTTAGTTGAATTAATAAATTTGATAATTTTTAATATTACATTTTGTTCATGTTTTGTTTAACATTATTAACATAAAATTTGTTTTCAGCTGCCATAAAAAAAAAGTTTGAAAACGCTAATGATAAGAGCATTAAAGAAAGAATCGGCAGCTTTCTGGCTACGGCCATTGATAGAGACGGCGGAAGAAAGAATAGAACCGCAATTGAGCAAAGCCCACTTGCGATGATGATGATGAGATGAGCGATGAAAATGAATGTCGCGAAGATAATGCCCATTAACTGATAGTGAATCAATGCCCATTATCTGATAGTGAGGGTGTAATGTAATAAATATAATATATATATATATATATATATATATATATATATATATATATATATATATATATATATATATATATATATATATATATATATAATATATATATATACATATATATATATATATTATTGAAAGTTTATTTAAGTTGTTATATTGAGGTTTACTTTCTTTTTTTATTTGTATCAGTTTAATATAATTTCTAATAGATTTATTAATAGTTTGTAAAAAGTCTTATTTTTTCAAAGCGTTCCTAGATTATTATCGCCTTCTAGACTATAAGTCAAGTTATACAACTATAGTCTAAACTATTTGCAAAAATATATATACTATAGTCTATACTAAAAACTGCATTGTTCTTTCGGGTTAAACAGTTCGTCCCTTCTGTATTATTTATAAAATGCTCTATCTAATATATAAAATAAGTACAAAAAAGAATATATAAATATTAAATGTTCTACCTGATATAATATATTATAATATATTATATCAGGTAAAACATTTTAAATGTTAACATTGCAATATTGGCACAATATTGAAAATAATTTCGCGCCAATATTGGGGATATAATACTGGCCAATATTGGTGTAATATTGTTTTTAATGTTTAACTTGTTCTATCTAATATGTAAAATAAATACAAAAAAAATTATATATAAATAAATACAATGTTTTATGTAATATAATTTATATATTATATTACATAAAACATTTATCTACATATAATATTGGCCAGTATTATATCTCCAATATTGGCGCGATATTATTCACAATATTGTGCCAATATTGTAAACGATATCGCGCCAATATTGTTATGTCAACATTTTGCTAATATTGGCCAATATTGAATTTACAATATTGGCGCAATATTGTACCGCCAATATTGACCAATATTGAATTTACAATATTGGCGCAATGTTGTACCGCCAATATTGGCCAATATTGGCAAAATGTTGACATTGCAATATTGGCGCGATATAGTTTACAATATTGCGCCAATATTGTAAACAATATCGCGCCAATATTGCGCCAATATTGTTTGCTACTTGGGTTGTAAAAATGTAACAACGTCATTATACCGCGGTACTCGACGACAAGACCCTACGGTCTTCTACGAGTTTCTGCGTACTTTTTATATATATATTAAATATCTTCACTTGTAATTGTTTATATTTTTTTATTTTAGCTTGTAAGTTTTATAAAATACCCAAGTAGCAAACAATATTGGCGCAATATTGGCGCGATATTGTTTACAATATTGGCGCAATATTGTAAACTATATCGCGCCAATATTGCAATGTCAACATTTTGCCAATATTGGCCAATATTGGCGGTACAACATTGCGCCAATATTGTAAATTCAATATTGGTCAATATTGGCGGTACAATATTGCGCCAATATTGTAAATTCAATATTGGCCAATATTAGCAAAATGTTGACATAACAATATTGGCGCGATATCGTTTACAATATTGGCACAATATTGTGAATAATATCGCGCCAATATTGGAGATATAATACTGGCCAATATTATATGTAGATAAATGTTTTATGTAATATAATATATAAATTATATTACATAAAACATTGTATTTATTTATATATAATTTTTTTTGTATTTATTTTACATATTAGATAGAACAAGTTAAACATTAAAAACAATATTACACCAATATTGGCCAGTATTATATCCCCAATATTGGCGCGAAATTATTTTCAATATTGTGCCAATATTGCAATGTTAACATTTAAAATGTTTTACCTGATATAATATATTATAATATATTATATCAGGTAGAACATTTAATATTTATATATTCTTTTTTGTACTTATTTTATATATTAGATAGAGCATTTTATAAATAATACAGAAGGGACGAACTGTTTAACCCGAAAGAACAATGCAGTTTTTAGTATAGACTATAGTATATATATTTTTGCAAATAGTTTAGACTATAGTTGTATAACTTGACTTATAGTCTAGAAGGCGATAATAATCTAGGAACGCTTTGAAAAAATAAGACTTTTTACAAACTATTAATAAATCTATTAGAAATTATATTAAACTGATACAAATAAAAAAAGAAAGTAAACCTCAATATAACAACTTAAATAAACTTTCAATAATATATATATATATATGTATATATATATATATATATATATATATATATATATATATATATATATATATATATATATATATATATATATATATATATATATAATATATATATATATTATATTTATTACATTACACCCTCACTATCAGATAATGGGCATTGATTCACTATCAGTTAATGGGCATTATCTTCGCGACATTCATTTTCATCGCTCATCTCATCATCATCATCGCAAGTGGGCTTTGCTCAATTGCGGTTCTATTCTTTCTTCCGCCGTCTCTATCAATGGCCGTAGCCAGAAAGCTGCCGATTCTTTCTTTAATGCTCTTATCATTAGCGTTTTCAAACTTTTTTTTTATGGCAGCTGAAAACAAATTTTATGTTAATAATGTTAAACAAAACATGAACAAAATGTAATATTAAAAATTATCAAATTTATTAATTCAACTAAATATGAAGATAAATAATTAAAGAAAATTACCTATAACCACCTTGCAGGACGTAAGAGACGAAAAGGATTTCTTTTGTTTCCTGCCATACAAAAAATATAACAAGCATACTTTTTTAGTCAATAGTTGTTTTAAAATAGCCGTGGTAAGTTGCTTGTAATCGTCGCCTCCAACCGATGCAAGGAAGTTCATCTAAAACAAAAAAACAAATCTAATTTGTTTACAAAAATATATAATTGGTTGTAATAAAAGTTTAATGGTTCCATAAATGTGTGTATTTCGAACGGGTTTACATAATGCGACAACGTGGTTATCTATAATGATATTTAAATATGACATTATCAAAGAGAAAAAGCAATTTGTTACAAATAGAAGCAATCCCTGAGGTCAACCTGTTTTGCTGATCAAGATTTATTATCATAAATGTTTTATAAAGTGATAAAAGCACTAAGAAAATCATACAAAATTTACCACAGGTTTATGAGCGTCTCATATCCCTTCCAATAACTACACAATAGCATCAGATTTTTCATTCACTAGTATAGGTTGTCTTTACCACAGAAAAAAAGTTAGGATGAATGCAATCTGAAGTTTCTAATGTGAGAGACCTTATGATTATAAGACTCATTGCTATATTAAATGAGCTAACTGGGCATAAATAGTTAAAACTACAACACAATTTAATAAAGATACTTTATATAAAGCATTCTTTTCAATATCATAATTAAATCAAATGTATAGTATATTTTACAGTATAGAAATTTTAAATGCACATGGAACTGTTTCTAAAAACTATTAAATGATATCAATTCACTGATACATACCAAAGATTCATAGGTGTCTTTGTTCTATAATTTTTCATCCAGGTCTAAAAGTTCTTTTTCCTCTTTAACAGGCAAATAATTGAACTGATGGGGATGGTCCTGCTATGCTCTGATTGCTAACAGTAGAAGGAAACACTAAGCTTTTTTCTAAATTGATTAGGCAAGTGTTTAACTTTTTTAAATCATATTGAATACTGACAAGCAGCTCTAAACTTTTCTTCTCAAATGCTTCAATAAAAAAATAAATCTGACTTTAATAAAAAGCATATCAAATAGATTAGCTTTTTATGAAAGTCAACACAAAAAAACGAGAAAAAAAAACAGTATAACTACATTCAAAAATATATTGAAGAGTAAATTTAATTAAACTTTCAAATAAATAACCCATCAATATAAATCTTTACCAGAAAATCAGGTGCCTAAAGCAGCCACAACAGTTGCCAAGCTCTGGTCAGAAGAGGAAGATATCGGTATAGAATGATTCGAACTAAATGGCTCAATATATCAAACAGTTGTGGGTTGTAAAATATTTTGGCAATTAAAAGATTTCTTCAATCTTGGGGAAACTGATGGATAAACCTCAGTGTCACTTGTATTGCAAACTGCTAACTTTTTAGCTGGTGGCATAGACAATTCTTCATCACTTTCAGCAGCTGTTTCAACGCTTGATGTGAATTCTATCTGTTTAGATCATTAGCATCTAGCATGTGTGTAATGTAAAATTAAACAAGGAATAATAACATAATAACGACAATTACCAGAATAATAAAGAATTCTTATTTTTAACTGTTTCCAATTACTTTCAGGAGTAAGTGTGGCTTCGCGTATGGCAGTTAAAAGGCGAGATGATCCCAAATGATTGGGTCAAAACACTAAACTTTCATTGATCAGCCATGACGAACAGATAACGTCCATGGCACACAAACTTTTTTTTTTTTCATCAAGAAATTCAGCCACAGCGAATTTTTTAATTTTTGCTGTCATCTTCAATTTTACTGTACAATATGTGTATAAAAAAACATAAAAAAATTTGAAAAAATTAAAAAAATTACCAAGAGTAATTTAAAAATTATAATAATAAGTTTATAAGGCGGGGCTAGGAATTTTTATTTTATATAATTACAATTTTTTTCTGTTTTTTTTTTTTTTTTTTTTTGAGCTATAAAAGTTAAATAATATATCTGTTATGAAAGGTAAAAAAATATCGGAAAATCACAAATATATAAACATATATATATATATATATATATATATACATATACATATATATATATATATATATATATATATATATATATATATATATATATATATATATATATATATATATATATATATATATATATATATAAAGCACTATGTGTTACATTGTGTTTGACTGACCAGCAAATAAGCAGTTCTTTTAAAGTAACTTCATCCTGAGCCTCTTCATTGTCACTGGAACATGAAGGATAGTAGCCATGCTCATCATCAGTTATGTTACAGTCATCATCAAAACTATTAGTCAAATTCGAGGGTTGGTTTTCATCAAAATATGATATGTCACCAAACTCAACATTTGAGGATTTTAATGTGTCTTCAGCCAAATAATTATAAGAATTTTGATATAACATATTATGGTTAATAGAC